CTGGATCCCCAGAGCCCACCGGCTGCAGCGCTGCACCGCCATCACTAGCCACATCCGAGCTGTCCCATCCGGGAGGGCTTTGCCCGGGTCGGGTGGCTCGGTCGTAAAATGAGGGTCTTTTCTAGCGCTAGTCCGTAAACTGAAAGCTAAGCGACCGGTTTTGCGATTGCCCACACACTCGAATTTACCTCATGCGTCGGCCGTAGAGCAAGAAGCTGAAGGTGTTCATCAACCATTCCGTGATCCTCGAAAATCAGTCAAAATGGCCGCCGCTCTGCCCAACGTTTCCGCCGACCTCATCTGGGAGGTTGTCCGTAAGTTGCAATCTCGTCACCCCGTCGTCTGAACGGAAAACGGGACGACGACACCACGGGGTTTCCCCCCCTGGCAAGCAGTTTGCTCACCATTTTCGTCTCGGTGGCGATGTACAGGCAACCAGAATGCCTACCTGGTCAACCGCAACGACGCTGGCGGCCTCCAGCTGTCCCGCGACCCCCTTAACCTGGTGAACAAGCACTCTCGCAAGGTACGTCATACTATCTCCGTGGTAGGCTCTGTTGTGGGCGGTATTTGGCTAACACACGGTGCAGTACGCTGGTTTCGTCAACGACAAGGTACACACTTTCCCGCTGTAATCGAGGCACCGAATTCCCAGAACGAGAACGATGCGGCGACGATTATGGATTGGTCGATCGAGGAATACATTGACTGACAGTAATTGCGACGCAGGCGATCGGCGTTGTCCCTAACGAGAAGGGTGGTGTCAAGGTCATCAGCAAGAACCAGAAGAACGCCAACAAGCCTGCCCAGGGCACCACTGAGGTCACCTACGGCGGCAACAAGTCGGCGCGCAAGTGAGTGTTTTCTGAACTTCAGCAACACGGCTTTGGATGGAAGCTGCATAGGAAGTTGAAGGTACTGACGATGTGACCTACAGGACCTACAAGGCCGTCGCCCTCCAGGCCGCCAACGGTGGCTACCGTGCCGATCTCCGTGAGGCCGCCGTTCAGCGCGTCTCTGCCATCCGCCGCGCCCAGAAGCCCGTCAAGCCCGAGGCCGCTGAGAAGAAGCCCCGTGGCGTCAAGGCCAAGAAGGCCGCCGAGAAGACTGAGGCATAAATTGCTTGTTTGAGTGGACGGAAACGACTTTGTTTGGGCGTTATGTCGAGCAAATAGAATACCTCTGAAGACACGGGCGAACAAATCAAAAGCTTGAGTCAAGGCCAAAATAATGACTGGACTGGGTTGCAATTGCTCCAACAAATTCTGTCCAACGATGGTGATGGTCGTGGATCGTGAACGACAGTCGTGCGCATGTGGAGTTGTCTGTCCCAGAGGGGTAGTCGGTAATGATCTAGCTAACGGTGGACGGATCGCGGTTACGAAAGACGTCAGAGTGAGTGCATAAGGGAGGCTGGCGACAGCTTGGCCGCTGGCTTGGATGATTGTGAGTCCGGTCTATCGGTCGTCACCCGGCGTTGCCCGACAACATGAGGGAGTGGTTCACAGCTCAACCTCGGGATAACGGGCATACGCCGGAAAGTTGGCGGGTTCTTCGGCTTTCGTCGCCGATTCCAGTGACGACAAAATGCCCGGCTCGTGAGTTCGCGGTGGATTGCGGATGAGATACGGCATCTACACTGGAGCTAGGAAAATCACCGGAGTAAGTCTTCGCCGACTTTGACCTTGGCGCACGGGATCCCGTCTCTCAAGGATTCATGACATGTTGGGGGGTCCACGGTACGTACCTGTAGACGTAGTTAGGAACCCCGCGGTCTGCAGAATAGGTAATAATTACCTGAAGCCCGCCAACGGATATTAATAGCGAATGCGGTTTTAGTTATTCTATGGTAAACTGCTTCACGGCCAGTCATGTCCAAATGCAAGGTCCCGAGCTCGAGTCTGTCTCAACATTCTTGGTCGTCAAATGATGCAATGGAAGTCACACCTTCAAAAACTAGGGACCGGACCTGCCTGGACACGGAGCTGTTTGGGTCTGGAGGTGCTTGGAAACATTGGAACCGGCGATGGGGACGCTTGTTTCTCCCGCACCCGAGTTTTGGCTATACATAGGACAGCTTCCCCTGTGTCGGGACCGTCAAACAGCCATAAGCAGGAAGTCGTCGGAAGGCATTGGTTGAATTCCGGGAGTTGACGGGGACGGACGGCTCCAGCTTCTCTCGATGCATGCCGCTCTCACATGCACCAGACAGGACGGACGGCTGGCAGGAGGGAGGTGCCTGGCGAGCGGTTGATTGGCGGGGGTGTGGGTGTTGCATCTGGCTTTCTCTGCCTTGCTGCCGAATTCCCCCCAGCATGGGAAAGCTGTTTTTGGTGGAGGGGAATGGCTCCTCCTGCTTGGCCGGGCTAGGTAGGTTGTCTCACTGGGGGGGTTTTGTCGCAGCAGCGGCACCAAGCCACGACGTCTTTGTTTAGGTACCTTTCTGCGACAGCCGGCTCGCCTATTTCTGGGTGGTAGATTTGCGGCAGTGTACAAGCTCTTTGTTACCTCGTATGCCCAGGTCCCGAGACACACAGCGCGCAGGACTCGCACGGGATCTTGCTGGGTGCGGCGGCTCTCTGTTCATCGACTGCACTGCCTGCCCGTCTACCTTAGCTGTGCCGTACCATAAGGTACCATACCACGCGTACCTAAAGGTATTCTGCGCATCACTGGCGCTGCGCTGCTACCCCCCCAAAGTTGCCCCTCTTTTTGCCCCTCTATCCAATGATGATGGTGGTCTCATACGTGGACGGGGATGAGGTGGGAGAAGGTCGCAATTCTCCCCGCGGTTGAACCTACGTCCCCGCCGACAGCCTCCGGACTAGGTATCATCTGGCTGCTCTGACTGCTAGTACTTCAAGCCTTCCGCATCCCCTTCTTCCTACTTTCTCTCTCCTCGTACTCAAACAACAAAACCTCTCGTCTTATCCTGTCCGTCCATCCTATCTTGAGCCTCTTCAAGCAACTGCCGCGTGAGTGGAAGTCAGTCTGACGATGGCAACCCACCCCTCTCCCTCAAGCTTACAGCCACAGCTCCAATGTGACCCCGCTGGAGCTTGAGGGGTTGCCGAGCAAGCTCCTGAGCTACATGAGATCACCCCGCTAATCCGCGAGAACCCTTCAGGACACCACCACTTTCCCCTCTTGCATCCCCAGATCGAAACAAACGAACACATTCAAGATGGTCAAGGCTGGTACGCTTCATCCGAGACAGCACCTCTCGCCCCGTCATCTCTAACTGCTTTTCCAGTTGTTGCTGGCGCCTCTGGCGGTATTGGACAGGTAAAGTGACGCCAGACCCCCGCCTCTGGGCACAAGTCAAAGCTGCGCATGGGCTTACCAAGTCTCTCTTCCGCAGCCTCTGTCCCTCCTCCTTAAGCTCTCCCCCCTCGTTGACGAGCTTGCCCTCTACGATGTCGTCAACACCCCCGGTGTTGCCGCCGACCTTTCTCACATCTCTTCACAAGCGGTATGTCTCGTCAAATTCGATGGTGTAATGCCCAATGCCATCAAGGCCATCGCATGCTAAATAGACTCCCTCGCAAACAGAAGATCGCTGGCTACCTGCCCAAGGACGACGGCGCGAAGGCCGCCTTCAAGGATGCCGACATCATTGTCATCCCCGCTGGTATTCCCCGTAAGTCACATTTGTCCAAACCGCGGTGCTCGTTATATGCCGCAATTGTCTAATCGAAGCTCCTTGCAGGCAAGCCCGGCATGACTCGTGATGACTTGTTCAACATCAACGCCGGCATCGTCAAGGGCCTGATTGAGATCGCGGCCGAGGTTGCCCCTAAGGCCTTCATCCTCGTCATCTCCAACCCCGTCAACTCCACCGTTCCTATTTCCGCCGAGGTCCTCAAGGCTAAGGGTGTCTTCAACCCTCAGCGCCTTTTCGGTGTCACCACCCTCGACATTGTCAGAGCCGAGACCTTCGTTGCCGAGATTGCCGGCAAGGCGAAGCCTCACGAGCTGACCGTCCCCGTCATCGGCGGCCACTCCGGCGAGACCATTGTTCCCCTTTTCAGCCAAGTCACGCCTTCCGTCACCATTCCCGACGACAAGTACGATGCCCTCGTCAACCGCGTCCAGTTCGGTGGCGATGAGGTCGTCAAGGCCAAGGATGGTGCCGGTTCCGCTACCCTCTCCATGGCATACGCTGGCTTCAGGTAAGATTCAAGCTACTCGGAACATGGATTGTCTTGTGTGAGAGTGCGTGTGGCTAACTGAAGTAGATTTGCTGAGAAGGTACTCAAGGCCGTCAAGGGCGAGAAGGGTCTCGTTGAGCCTAGCTACGTCTACTTGCCCGGTGTTCCCGGTGGCAAGGAGATTGCCGCCAAGACCGGCACTGACTTCTTCTCCGTCCCCATTGAGCTTGGTGTAAGTTCCAATCCTCCATGAAGACCCAGTCGATGCTGACGCCGAGTAGCCCAACGGTGCTGAGAAGGCTGTCGACATCCTCGGAAACATTACGGACAAGGAGAAGACGCTGCTGGAGGCCGCTGTTAAGGGCTTGAAGGGCAACATTCAGAAGGGTGTCGACTTTGCCCACAACCCCCCTCAAAAGTGAATACCCCCAATTGTACATTTGCAGCAACAGCCCCCGTTCCCCCGCTCAAGGAAGCCTATTGAACGCCTTCCAACAAACGTAGCCAAAACGGTGATAGATGAAATACAACCGCGAGGGAGAATTAATGGCTGATTGATTTTTCTCTTCCCTAGGCTGTAAGGTGGCTGATGACCGCGAGTGTGTGTAGCTGATCGGCTTACTACGTCAACTGGTATCGTGATTCCGTGGCTTTGGGGGTGGGGGCGTCTGGGTATTTTGGATATGGCAACCGGTCGATAATCCCGTTTGCTGCTAGTGAAGAACTTTCTGTATGTGGAGTAGGACATCATTGAATCTACTCGACATGATCGTACTTTTGACGGACCTGCGTACCCGTCTCCTCCGAATCCAATCATCAAGTATTGCACTACGCATGGTTTCATAGAGGTTATGTGCTCGAAGGTAGCGTCTTGATTTGAAAGATGGCAGCCGGCAATTCATTCGTCTCTGCTTGAACTGTGGCATTGATCCCCAAGGCTGCGAGGGCTCCGCGGACGATTCCGCAGGGGAACCATAGGAACTGTTGATACAGCAAAGTCAGCGTGACTACCACGAACTCCACAACGCCATGTCAGACTTACCGGTTGTGCCCGCACGACGGCCTGACCCCCGGTCTCGGTGCTCATTCTTGAAAACGGCTTGAACGAGTTGTCCGTCAACACGTAGACACCCTACACAGAGAGCCTCGAGTTAGCAAACCGGCCGTGACCTGTCTCCAGAGATGGACGAGACCACCCACCCTGTGGTTAGTCTTTAGATTGTCGACTTGTTTCCGGAACACCAGCGACCACAGATCCTTGCAAACGAACTTGATGACATCTAGCGTATCGTTGAAGTGTGGCCTATCTCTCGAAAACCTATCCCAGTGCCCGACCCGTTAGTCTCCAATTGACACTGACCAACAACATCGGGGAGGGGAGGGCGGAGAAGACATACCTCTCTACAAGTCCCTGGCCAACACGATACCCCAACGTCTCGAGACGGTAGAACACGGCGTCCCTCTCCTCATCTTCGTCCATCTTCCGCGCGCTGCCTGCGGTGACGGCCCCGCTTGCGCTTGACAGCGCCGCGCCTGCTGCGGCATGGCTGTGACTCCCGGAGGATGCCCCGTCTCCGCCGGCCGATGAGCCCTCTGCTGGAGCTATGTCGAGCTCCCTCGTTACGCGGAACGCCATCGGCACGAGCTCGATGAGGAGAAAGTCGAGGCAGGAAGAGTTGAGGAAGGAAGCCGTCGGATCCGAGGCGTTGTACGGGGGCATTACGCTTTCGAACGACATGATTGCGACTGTGGTCTGGTGATGTTCTCGTGCTACTGTCTTCTTCCCGACTGGTGTGGTCGCTGTTTCGTTCCGTGTAGGGTCGGTTGAGACCGATTGCGACGTAGGGCGAGCGCATCCAACGAAGTGGAGGGAAGATTCTCGGCGTTGTTTGGCGTTTCTGTCCCGATTGGCCTTACAGTTTCGTAGTCTGGGTACTGTAGCTGCCGGTGCCGGCCGTTTATCGGTCTTGAGCGTGAGGGGAATATGATGGGAAATATGAGAGGTAGGTAGGTATCTAGCTGAAGGTGAGGACAGACGGGCGACGGCACCTTACCTTCGGGAAAGGCAGTCGACGGTACGTACTTCTGACAAGGGCGCAGTGGAGCTTCAGTCCATCCCTTCTCCCCCCATCATGCACACGGTCCAACCAACTCCTGGATAAATAGTCAACTTGTCATCGCCGTGAGACACAGAAACCAACTTCAGGAAGATTCTAGTTTGATAAAATTCGCAAACGCCGACCGAGATACTCCGGCCGGGAAAGCTCGCCCTAGGTGACCGCGAAGCGATTGCTGGACCATGTGCATTCGCAGGCAATCATTCATTTCTTTCGTGCTGTTTAGACTAGACTTTGATGGATGGGATATGTTTTTCCTCCTGAACGCCTGTGCAGCTATCCTTCCGTTCCTTCCCACGCCAAACTGTAAAATACACACACATGAGGACGCATTAGGATATATGTACGTGCCTGGACCCAACAACCCAAGGCTCCACTTCAAAAGATTGAGTGTAAGAGACAAGGAGCGGAGGAACATGCCTCAGAACAGCTGGCCATTGTAGCTGTTGCTGTAACTGTTCGCCGCCGGTGGTTGAAGCTGCTGCCGCTTTGGGGGTGGTTGGAGGGGTTCGTCATCATCAGAAAGCGTGAGATCTATTGTCACCCTATCGGAGTGAGGCCTCTTCGCACTCGTGGAGCCGAGACCCCGAGGCATCGTTGAGCTTTCGCGCGACATGATGGTTGTGGTCGGTGTCGCCGTACTAGCAACTGATCGAACGGGCGTCTCGAGGTTGCGACCACGAATGACGCTGACTTCCGAGATGATGAAGTCGTCATCGTCATCGTCATCAACGGAGCCGTTCCCACCGTTGGCAGACTGATCGTCTTGCGACGAATTGACCCGCCATTGTCCATCAGGCTCGATCGTGACTTGATCCAATGACTTGGACGTATTGGCCAAAATCTCCTTGACGTATCTATGTGAATATTAGTCGATAGCTCGCCGGCTCACACAAAAGACACCTACTCGTCAACCGCAAGTTGGTCGAACGGTGCGGACTTGTTGCAGATAGGACACAGCCATTGAGGGCCTTGCTCCTGCAACTGAAGGTACGAAGTAGCATCGAAGCACTGGATATGCGAGCAGAATGTAGAGCGACACGGAACGTCGAGTCGCATGTAAGATAGTGGGCATTTCAGAGACAATACTTGCGATGTTGTGACGATGTCCGTATCTGCTGCCTTCTTGCTGACTGATATATGATTAGTGAGCTGTTGTCAGATGCGAATCTCGTTCCGAGTACCTACTTTCCTGGATGACCGACTGCTTAGGAATCTTCTTCCCAGTTTTGATCCGCTCAGCGAGCTCTTGAGCCGACGTGATCTTGCAAACGTAAAGGACGAGGAAAAATTTCTGTCCAAGCCCGTGAGTACGGGGCATGATGACCGGGGCGTATTCATGTTTCCTACACTCACCTTCTGTGTCAAGGCGTAGGTGAACTCGACGAGATTCCGGTTGTCGTTTTTCAGACGTAGATAACTCGTGACGTCCACCGGTCGCGTTGACCCCGGCTTGTTCTTCAAGCCTCTCAAGTTGGCCTTGACCTCGTTTCCGTTGACCTTGATCTCCGACTGATGAGGAAAGGTAATGTCTTGGAGATCACTGTTGCTATTGCTGTCGGCGCAAAACACCATTACACGGTATGACTTGTCCTCGAGAACTTTGTTCACTCCTGGGCAATCGCTCAACTTGACCGGGACGGAAACCATATTTCTGTGTTGGCTCATAGCTAGGGGAGTCAGCGGGAGGTAACAAGCGTTGAAGTCAGACTCGGTATCTTACTCTCGCAGACCTTAACGTCGCCGACCCGGTGCTGGAGTGCATAGAAGGGAGTATCCTTGAATCTTGGGCCTAGGCGCAATTAGCTGTTGTCGGACACAGCATACGAGAACATCCTGCATACCGATTGTGGCCCCAAAGCTGTGCATCGAGTGGCCATTCAGCCCCGTGGGACGGCCATTACTGCGCTGGTTCCAGTATGGATCTGATCGCATCACGACGGGTTGTGCGGGCGCGGAAGGGCGTGCGGGTTTATGGGAGGCAGGAGAAGAGGAAGCCCCGGTTCGCGTGGTCTCGATGCTCCGTTGAATTTGCTGAAAGCGTGTAGCATCGTTGTTGTTGAAGGCCTCTTGGATAGCTGGATGGAATTAAGTCAGCGAGAAGTTTCCTCGTGGGAGAAGCTGCCTGGGCAATCTAAGAAGAGCCGTGGACATGAATGACTTGGGAGCCTGGCAGCGGCAAGGAGAATGGCGCAAAACGCATGGTGTTGGTGGCGGAGGCATATCGGGGGGGGATGGATGCGGCTGACCATTAACGATGCGACTCTGCAGCGACGCCTTAACCCCGCTGCTAGTGAGACCGTTGAGCTGGCAGATGCTGGAAAGTTGACGATTAAGCAACTGGTTGCTGTTGACCAGCTTGACCAGAGCCTGGAGCTCATGCCTCTGGATGGAGGTCATGGTTCGTGGGCGAAGGAAGAGTATCGCAGTGGCGCCTTCGGTGACAGCCTCATGAAGGTTTGCGGATGCGACGTCGGAGAGACTGGATTCGGGGCGGAGGAAGGCGGGAAAAGGTAGCAGAGTTGTTGGAGAAGACAAAACAAGAAAGAAATAAAAGCAGCTCTTGGTTCAAGTGGAAAGGACCATGGACGCAACCACACGAGGAAAGAGCGACGAGGCTCGGGGTTGCGTGGTGGTGGTCGTGCTGCGTGGTGCGCCGACACCGACAGCGAGACGGGAGAACCTAGAGTGCGGTGCGGGTGCGTGGGGACGTCGTCCACGTCTGCAGCGCCGCACCGTGGAGGCAAGGGCTGCTACGTGCGACGGGAGTGGTGCAACTGACGGCGGGCAGCAGATAGGGTCCCTCCCGAGAGACGTGTCGACGCAGAATGCGGCTCTTTTCTTCTCGCTCGTGTCGATACCTTGAGGTAATCCGTCCGCCTACCTGAGGGGCCTTAGCCTCTGGACTTGGCGACGCACAATGCCCAAGAGGGTTTTTGTTTTTGCTTGACGCGAGGAAGCAAGGAAGCGAGACAAGAAGACCCAGTCTGGTAGGTAATGACGGGTGATGCTTGACGGGAAGCGAAGGAAAAGTCGTGGCCAGGAAGGTACATAAGGCAAAGTACGGTACCTACAGATGGAGGAAGACGGGGAGGGCGAGTTGAAGTGAGGTAAGGTCAGTACCTAAGGTTGGCGGCCAGTGGGTGTTTTCTCGGGTCGGCAGCCTGGGCAGTCGAGTTTGATGTCATTCGCGACCAATGTAACAACCTAAGGTACCTCCAGGGCTATCTAGGTAAGCACCACCGGCGATATCTACAGGCGAGCGGCGGCCGCTGTTTCAGTGCCTTGTGCCTCCCCTAACGGAAGACTGTTCCAGCAGCCCAGCGCCTGGGGCAAGTACCTATCTTACCTAGCTTCCCTGGGTCACCTCGCCTGTGACAGAAGGTCCCTTACCTTAGTACCTTAAAGTGGGGTGGCTGTAGTCGGCAGGCCCCGCGACTGGTTGCTCATCCAGGGATTGTGATTGCTGGTTGCCTGCATCGTAGAACGGCAGGCGGGGCGTCCGTCGCTTTGTGCAAAATTTCCCACGCAGGTCAACACCAAACATCACCACCTCAACGCACCAGAAAATCTCCCTTCAAGGACACGTCGCAACCATGGCCAAGAGCTCGAGATCTAGTGTCAAGAAGAACAACAACCAAAGACTCAAGAAGGATGTCTTTGGCCCTGCTGAGGCGGCAAGAGCAGAGCGCCTCTCAGCCAAGCTGCTGGAATTAGCGAAACAGCCCAAGCCCCAAAAGGAGGCAGATATCAACATGGACACTGACGAACAAGACGATGGTGAGTATCTTGTTCAATTGGAATCAAGCAGACACTGAAAAAAAAAACCCCAGCCCAGGTCAACCCCGATGAGGAGCAAGAAGCCAAGAAGACTGAGGACACCCGTAAGCTGCCTCACTATCCTCAAGCATCCACTAAGGAGAACTTATCCTGACTCAATTCCCAGGCATGGACGTGGACTCTGCAAAGCCCCGTCGCAGATCCGGCAGAATTCAGAAGAAGAAGTCGTCCAAGATTGTCTTTCCTAAGTACAAGGACCGTCGCGGAGGCTCCAAGAAGAAGGCCTGATCGTGACGCGACACTAGGTTGCCATTTCTCCTGGCATAGCAGGATTTGTTCCCAGGCTGTCTGCCGCGAAAAGAGAGGAAGCGACAGCCGGCGCAGGGTCTCTCAATATCGATTTGTTGTTGTTTTTTCCCCATTTCTCGGAGTTGGTGGGCAGGGATTCAATTTTCATTTTTTATTTTTCCTTCTCTCACGGATGGTTGCTGGTATTCGGCTTAATGGTTTTTCACCCGTCGGTCGAGATTTGGGCACTTAAAAGTTATCACATTGTATTTGCAACATTGAACGGGACATGAGGCCTTCAGCGATGTGAGACTCAACTCGAGTCACTCTGCTGCAATATGTCGAGACATCCCTCAAGACAATTGGAATGAACTGAGTGAACGATGCGCCTCTTCACTGCATCGGCCGGGGCCGCCTAATTGTTGTAACGGGACTTTCGGACTTTGACCAGCGTATTCAGCCAATCATCAAGCGCAATTTCCCTTACTCGGCTGAGCGTCTCATCCCTGTGCTAGAGCTGTCACAGTGTCCTCAGCTGCCAGCCCAACAATTGCATAGCTATTACCTACCTTAACCTGTCTGCTGGATACCTGCTTTACCCATTTAGGATCTCGACGATCCCGAACAACCTTGGAGGACAGCGACCGCGCCGCTTCGCTAACACCCGACCTGTCTTTCACCTTTCGTGCCTCGAACTCATCCTCCCACTTTGCACCATGGTTCAATGACCAGACGCCAGACTAGAAAGCTATGAAATCGTCTCCTTCGAAGCCTTCACAGCAAAGACCACCTAATCGGCAACCTTCTCTCCCCTTCACCCTTCTGGCCTGAACGAACGAACCTATTGGCCACCTTGATGGATACGCGACGACCATGTCCTTTCGCTATGGCCCGCGTTTTCTGACCACCCAACTCACTATCGCCAATGTCTTGATTCCCGTGGCGATTCTCATATTCGCGACTGGTTTCTTTCCATACAAGCCTGTGCTTCCAGGTCTGGCTCGTTATGAGACCCTGGAGTATGGCCCGCCACCAAAGGCGCCCTTTGATCGACTCGTTTTCATGCTCGTCGATGCATTGCGAAGGTAGTAGATCGGTGGGTCTGATAATCTTTGGATTGGGCTAACGGTCGAGAAGCGATTTTGTTTATGCGGATGGTACTGGATTCACATACACCCAAGAGTATGTACACCCCTCATGACTTTCGTCGCCTCACAAGGCTATGGCTGACTAGGGGTCAGGTTGATTCGCAATGGTGCTGCTCTTCCCTTTACTGCCAATGCCAGGTCACCGACCATCACTATGCCCAGAATCAAAGCAATCACCACCGGCTCCATCCCGTCTTTCTTGGATGTCATCTTGAACTTTGATGAGGCAGACACGTCTTCAACTCTCGCCGCCCAGGACACGTGGCTGGCGCAAATGAAGGCCAAACAGTCGGGAAAGCTGGTCATGTATGGAGACGACACATGGCTCAAGCTGTTCCCAGAGACCTTTGACCGCGCCGACGGCACCTCGAGCTTTTTCGTTTCGGTAGGCGCTGCCACAAATACTGAGGAGATGTGGATCTAACACCACCATCTAGGACTTTACGGAGGTCGACAACAATGTCACAAGACACATCGACACCGAGCTGGAGAAGGATGATTGGAACACACTGGTGTTGCATTATCTTGGTCTCGACCATATTGGTCACAAATCGGGACCTCGAAGGTGAGATATCGCCGCCGGCCCGGTCTCTTACCCACTAACAAGAATCTAGCCCACACATGGTCCCCAAACAACAGGAGATGGACAACATTGTCAAGCATCTCTTCCAGGCCATGGAGACATATGATCACATGTCTTCAACTCTATTGGTACTGTGTGGAGATCACGGCATGAACGACGCGGGAAACCACGGCGCCTCATCCCCTGGAGAGACATCTCCTGCCCTTGTCTTCATCTCACCGAAGCTCAGGACACTCCAGCGCAGCCTGAACTCGCCTTTAAAGTTCCAGGAGGACTTCTCGTACTACACCAAGGTCGAGCAATCCGATCTCGCGCCGACTCTGGCGGCCTTGCTAGGTTTTCCCGTGCCGCAGAACAACTTGGGCGCCTTCATTGCCGATTTCCTCCCATTCTGGTCGAATAGTAAGCGTGGATACCCCAAAACAGACACTCAGTCATCCGACGAATGCTTATGAGACATAGAAAACGATCAAATCCAGTTGCTTGTTCGCAATGCTAGGCAAATCCTGAACATTGTTACGGCGACGTTTGGCACGAGCATGTTCGATACTGAGTCGTCGTCAACACAAAAGGCATGCGCGGATCCCCAGGATGATGCGCAAGAACTAGCATGCGAATGGCATAGAGTCAATGACGGGCTCAAGGCCATGGGAGGCAGTGAGCAGCTGGATCAAGCCTGGCTCAGGACCATGTCCAAGGTGGGTTGCGGACACTCATGCCGCCGGTCTTATTTCTAACTATCCGCAGTGGTTGAGTAAAGCTCAGGATCTAATGAGCACCATGGCTAGCAATTACGACATGGGCAGGCTGCACCTAGGCGAGGCCCTGATGGCCCTGATCACTTGCTCCCTGCTGTTTGCTGTCACGACAAGTCTCATTCCCCTGATAGTCGTCTCCATTTCCTATGGCATTATGATGTTTGCCAGCAGCTACGTTGAAGAGGAGCAACATTTCTGGTATTGGTTCACGTCGGCCTGGTTTGGCTCACTGGCCATCAAGAACATGCAGACGTGAGTGTTATTCATCCGTCTTCTTTCCTATTCTGACTTGCCAGAAGCACCCACAAGCCTCTGCAGACCATCGGTCTATTTCTACTCGCCTTAGCAGCCACCAGACTGGTGCGTGGGTGGAATCAGACAGGACAAAAGCATGCTGGCGAACCCGACATTGTCAAGACCTTTGTCACAACAAATCCACCCCTACTCTGGACGCTCGTGGGCGCAACTTACCTCTTGAACTTTTTTCAGCTAACGAGAAGACTCCGTGGCATGCCGGCTGTCGCATCTGCCGCAGCCTCCGGCATGGTGGTGCTCTCGGCCTTCTCTTTCAAGCTAGCTTTCACGCATGAAGACTCGCCAGAGCTTGTGACCGGCATTCCTGCCGCCATCAACGCCGTTCTCCAAGGCCTGACTCTCGTGACCAGAGCTAGAATCGTTTTCGTTGGTATCGGTGCACTCGCAGGGTACTCTGCTTACATTGCCCTCTCCAAACCAAGTGAGGCGGCTCAGACAGGTAAGCAATCGCATGCCTCACGCAAACCCCATCCAACCCTGACAAAAAACAGCAAAACTTCTCCACCACCTCATCACCCTCTTGGTGGC